TTGGAAATATGAGAAAGAGAGATGATTCTCTTATATAAACTCAAAATTGTCGAGCCAGAAAAATAAACCCTAATACCAGTAATCCCTTCTGTTTTATGGAAAAAAAGATAAAAGAAAAGTTCATAACAGAATAATAGGAGAATAACAATAGTTAATACATTATTATGTTTAAAGTAGTTGCTTAGAGTGCAGGATATACACCTAAAAATTTCCCTGATCACTATTAGCACAAATATTCCTTTTTAATGAACTAAGAGACACTAGTAGTATTACTGATTTGCACTTTTTCTCTTTCCCCTACTGTCCCTTTCCCCTTTCACCCATCGTAGTTCCTTTTTCCTTTTGAACAGTGTCTTCCCACTTCACCATATCTACTATATATATTAGGCCTTATTTACTCTTTCAATTTCTCATACCAAGGATGTCTATACATGTCAGTCTGATCTAATACCAGTAATCTTAATTTTGTATTAGAGACTTGTGTCCTTAGAATTTTCTAAAGCATCATACAATAATGAAAACCGTATTTCACATTAGCAAGGGAGTCATTGTTGACCTGAATAGGAGAAAATAAAGGAAATAACATGCATTACAAAGTGTCAGATATGCAAAGTAAACAAGACTAGAGCCCTAAAGTGCAACACGAACATTATAGGAAATCAAATTGTACTGTATATGAGAGTCATGCTGAATGACTACATTTCAGCTGATCATGTCATAAAAGCAAAAAATAATAACTGAGATGATGAATATGTTAATTTTCTTCACTATAATAACTTTTTTTCCTGTATTTAGGACAGGGTCCACAGAGTCTATTAGACTCGTAGTGATCCTCCTGTTTTCAGCTTCCCAAGTGCTGGGACTACAGGCACACGCCACCATTCCCAGTCTCAATCGCCACCTCAGGGTGCCCCCGGGGGTGGGACCAGCAGGGCATGCTGGGGATCGAACCCTGACTGCTGTGTCTGCCTAAGCAGGTGCTTTAGTCTGCTGGGCTATCAGGCCGGCAGACCTGATATGCATTTATGCATTTAAAAATACTTGTTGTATTTTTAAATATATGCATTTAAAAATACTTGTTGTATTTTTAAATACACATATTTTAAAAATACATGTTATGGGCCAGCCAAATAGCTCAGTGGATTAAAGCACCTGCAAGTAGGTGCAGGGTCCAGGGGTTCAATCCCTGGGCCTGCCATGCCAGCCCCACCCCTGGGGCACACTGAGATGGCAATTGAGACACACGCCTGTAATCCCAGCTCTTGGGAGGCTGTAAACAGGCGGATCACTATGAGTCTATTCTAGTAGTGAGACCCTGAATACTCTATAGACCCTTCCCTAAAATAAAAAAAAAGTTTATTTTTAAAGTATACTAAAATTTCTTAATAAATAATTGAGGCCCATACCCGAATTTTCTTTAACAGCGTCTGCATAAACTATAAAGAAGAGGCAAGGGCTCTGTAGAAGCGATGTAGAAGTGGCGTCCCAGGGTTCTGGCGGCATTTCCGTTTCAGAGATCATTTATTTGGCACAAGTGAAATTTCTCTTGCTCACTGGACAGTTTTCATGCAAGTTAAAAGTTTTCATCAACAGGGCCGGCCTGATAGCTCAGCAGAGTAAAGCACCTCCTTAGGCAGACACCGGGACTGGCGTTCAGTCCCTGACATGCTGTGCTGGTCCAGCCACCGGGAAATGCTGAGACAGCAATTTAGACCGGGCATGCTGGCGCGGGCCTGTAATCCCAGCGCTTGGGAGGCTGGAAACGGGAGGGTCACTACAAGTCCGATCTGTGTAGTGAGACCTTGTGGACCCTGTACTAATCTGTTCTCCTGCTGCACTTCTTCCTGGGCTATGCTTTCTGTAACCCACTGGTGACTGACAGCATGGATTGCACCATGGACCCTTTGCTCCTGCTAATGAACATTTTTCATGTTGTACTGACAACAGGGTGGTCTCCTTAAGTGACTACTAGTGTAAAATATCTTTTCTGGTAAATTCACTGCTTTCATGTACAAATTTTTCAATTCATAGAAAATGAACTTTCACCAAACAGTTGAACTTTTAAACAAAATTTACATTTTTCCTTACTGTCTTTTACTATCCTTAGATAGTGTTATATGGATTAGTCTCATCCTCCAAATTAAGATTGTAATATTCTGCTGAGAAAGGCCTTATTTTTTTTCATATGTCCAGCAGAGTATGCTATAGAGCAGAACACCATGTGCTATATATTAATTATTCATTCATTATATATACATTAAAAAATAAATTCAGAGATCCTTGAGTCTCCAGTTCCATGGACTACATTCCCTTTGGCTTCTTTTTTCTTTCTTTCTTTTTTTTTTTTTTTTTTTTTGCTGTGCTGGGGATTGAACTAGGGACCTTGCGCTTTCCAGGCAGGTGCTTATGCTACTCCGCTATCTCCCCAGCCTATATTCTCTTAAGGTCAGCTTTTAAAAAATTATTATTTTCAGTTCCAGAGATTTTACAATATGAGGAAAATTAAGGATTCTCTTCTGTTCCACAAAGCACAAAGATCTCACATTTCTACTCCAACCTTTTATATTGATGAGGGTCAACATTTTCCCATACTGCCTTGCCATCTTCATCCTATATAACTCCCATCAAAAAATAAGAATCCCATAGCAGATTTGAGGTACAAATGCCACCTCATCTGCTTGACTCATTTGCCAGCTAAATAGTTGTCCTATGTATTTTTCGTATAGATTCAAAAATATGTCTAGGGAAAAAATTCTAATTTATTAATTTGTATAGTTCATGTGGGTTACTGCTAAGTAGTGAAACTGTGAATAATAAGTCCACTGAGGACAAGAGTTACTATAAACTAATAAGGATAAATAATTTGTTGACTGAGCCAGGATGGAGGAAGCAGAAAAAAAGAGTATTTTAGAATTTGTGCAAATTTAGAAGGAAGAGAACAAATGTTAAAAATAACCGACAAGGATATCATCCCTTGTTTTCCAGTCGCCATTTTTCAGGACAATTATCTTCCTCACCCCGGGCAAGGAGAGTGTCCATGACCTTGCTGGGTCTTGTCATAGCTACATGTCTCTTGCATGGAGAAGTAGACATTGAATATAATGAGAACATTGCTCGAGATTAGCATACAGAGTAGAAAGCGGAGGCTCTCTTCCCTTTGAACTGTGAGACTCTTCAATATAGCGTTGGAGCTTCTGTTACCATGTGTTTTGTCTTTTGAAAAGCAGAAGGTCAGAGACGCACATGGCAGGGTGGGGCATACACTGAGCACAAACCTCTAGCTTTGGCTGTGTGTGTAGACAGCTCTACTCTGACTTTCCAGTTACACGTGCCAATAAATTCCCTTGTGGCCAGAGCATGTTTGAACTAGGAGTTTGTTACCTGATACTGAAAAAGTTTGATCAAAGCAAAGTCTGTGTGACCTGGGAAAAGCGGCTGCTGCATAGAGAAAAACTGGTGAGGCAGCTCCCAAAGGTTTAGCTGCTTTGTGTTAGAGGGGAAGATCATCTCGTCCTCCCTCCTTTCAAGTCAGAATTTATAGCTGATGTTGCCTTTTTATAGGGAAAGGCATGCACCCTTTTTTGGGGGGTGTGGGGTACCAGGGATTGAACTCAGGACCCTGTGTTTGCCAGGCAAGCACATATTCTACTGAGCTATCTCCCGGGGCCCAACACACACCCTTTCAAAATGGGGCTGGGTGCCTCGCAGGCGCAAGGACCCAGGTTTGAACCCTGGAACCTTGGGCATGCTGTGCTGGCTCTCCAACCAGCCGTGGTGGCGCACACCTATAATTCCAGCACTGGGGAGGTTGAGAGAGGAAGATCACTATGAGCTTGAGCTGCATAGTGAGAGCCTGTACCAAGTAAATAATTAACAATGCGGCTAGGTTACACGGATCAGCATCCGTAGAAAAGATGTAGAATATGGTTTTATTTTAGAAAATTGTGAATTCATTTTAACTGTTTGATTTCATTGGCAAGAATATGTATTTTTAACATATCCTGACCTTCCTAGCTGAATACATAGGTAACTAAAATTTTTTCATAGTTTAGCAAGCTTTAGCATGACTATATGGTCATTTAACACTTACATACTATGGTGAAGTAGACTCTTGAAAGAAACCTCTGACTGGCGTGGGGGTCTTTACTATCTCCTTAGAAACATTTTTCTTTCTTGTAAAAACTAAAGACACTAAAAAAAAAAAAAAAAAAAAAAAAAAAACTAAAGACACTGATAAATGGTGACTGTTGTCACTGAGGCATTCAAGGGCCTGACAAAGTTACATGTCTGAAAAAATATGAAGATATTTGTGTTAATTATTTTCTTGTTGATATGCAATACCTGACACCCACAATGTAATGGAGAAAAGGTTCATTTTGGCTCACAGTTTGTGAAATTTCAGTCCATCGTGGGCTGGTAGCAAGACAGGCTGTACAGGAGAGGGCGCTGGCAGAGGAGAGACAACTCATGGCTTAGTGGGGTGTGGGAAGCAGAGAGAGGGCGGTTTATTTAGCTCAGGATGTGTACAGGTTTCAGTGCATAATCAGCTGGCTCCAAGGCAGAGTGGTGGAACAGTTTATAGCAGGGCAGTAAGGAACCATAAGAGCATCTTTCTTCCCCTTCATCTTATCCGGGCTACTCAAGGGGGGCGACACTCACACTCTTAATACTAGTGCCCTGGAGCCTTGCACCATGAATCAAGTCCACACACTCTAGATCCAGCTATCTCTTAAAAAGCCAACTGCATGAGTTTGGGGGGCATCTAGATATGAGCTGTAACAGCCGTTAGTTCTAGCTCTACTGTATGTGCGAAGCAGAGGTAAGATACACAGCTGAGAAGGAGAAGGAGGAAGAAGACATAAATGCAAGCTTGGAAATCAGGCTCTGCCAATAGTCGCTCGTGCTCAGAGGTTAATGCTTTATCTGATCTCTGCCACAGTAAAGGTTCTTTTCCAAGATGGGCATTTCTTTCAGTTGTTCTATTTTATTTTGCTTTTCAGGTGGACAAAAAAATCGTAAGAACTGAGATAGGAGTTCTTCTTCGCCTTTCACATCCAAATATTGTAAGTGGGGTTTTTTTTTGTTTGTTTTTGTTTTTGTTTTTTTTAACCTGTTTTAAATACTTTCCAAAGCCATGGAATGAGAGTGTTGTCCTTTGCTGTTTGCAGGGCTGAGAAGAAAATTGTCCCACTTTAGGAGCCAGTTTAGCCTCGTTCTTGTCCCCCTCTCATCACATTTTCAATAATGTGGCTGCAAAATACGTATTTATTTAGTCCGTTCCAAAACGGATGGATTGGCCATGTATACCACCTTAATTTTGATGCATGAAAGGATGAGAAGGGGAGAATTTTATTTCATTATAATAAACTACTGGCTTTCTTCCTGTTTTATGTGTTTATCTTATTAATATGCCACTGCAGAAAAAGCCGGTGAAGAAAATACATTGCTCTCCAAAGTGATTTCAGTCTCCTTGGAGAGAGTATCTGCTTCAGAAACAAAGTGAAGATGCAAACAAAATGGTACACTTGGAGGGGCAAAGAAAACCTCCCCGGGAGCCCCGCTTAGGCGATGGCCGGCCGAAGCCTCAGAGGGAAATGTCAGTGGAAAGCTCTTTGGAACCAATGAAGTGCAAAACAACAAAGTCATTTTCCAAACCATGCCTTGTTTTTATGAATTGAGGCATCTACTTACAAAATAGTTTACTTCTCTGAGAAAGCTGTAGTGTCCGAGGGAGTGATCTGCGATGCTTAGGCTTAAGGTGACGTACTTAAAACAATATATGCATTGGGGATATATTTAGCTATAAATAGCAAGTATTCTTCTTAAAAGACACTCGCAGCTGCCAGCTCCTCGCATTGATTCAGTTTCTCAGTATCACCACCCGGGACCCAGACACTGCTCGTCCTGCATTCTGCTGTCCACAATGTATTGATTTCCCCCTCATGCTTTTCCTTCATGGTTCCAAAATGACTGCTCCATAGTGTTCAAGCATTCAGTTTGTGTTCAAGTAAGATGATTGGAAGGGTCTCCCCAGCAGAGGCAGGTGAGAAGGGAAAATTTCCTCAGAAACTGTAGTGACTAAATTGTCTTCAGGTTGTATTGGCCAGGCTGATAGCATGGGAAACTGGCCATAAATGGCTTGGATCAATCCTGATCCACAGTGCAGGGTGAGGTGCTTTACTTCCCTGACCGAAGTCAGCGTTCTGTTTACAGTAGAGAGAAAGGCCTGGGATGGGCAACTAACAAAATTTATCATGCTCTGTCACTCTTTTATGTTATCTATCTCTTTTCCAAAGAGAAGTCATATGGAATTTTCCTCAAGTGTATGTAAGTCCTGGTCACTAGAGTCCCACACCTAGAGGGAAAATTATATCAAATTGTTTGAAATATCCCAAATTTGAGTGTGATGAAAAGCACCCCCCCCCATTGCTTTCCAAGAAGCCTTTCACCCACCAGCCATGTTTGAGCGCCTGAGGACATCCTTTCCTTGTTGTGTGGATTCAGACCCTTGTTGCCAAGAGAAAGGGGCATTTTCCTACAGTGATGCTTTCAAAGGTTTTAGGAACCTGGAGTTTTTTAATTGTAGACTAATCCAGAAAATGGAATATTATGGAAAACTTCAGAAAGTGCTTCTAGAGTAGTTATCAAAAGGAAAAAAAATGTTAAAATTCAATAAAACCTTTGAAAAAGATGAAAGAATGGATGCAATCCACAACCTAGAGAGGGCATGGGAGCTGTGTCCTTGATCCTAGAAAGAGATACTGTTATTAAAAATCATTGACTGTATTGGTATTGCAGTGTCATTTTAGCCCCAATTTCAGATACTTTCAAGAGAAATGAAAATAAAGAATTTGTAATGTTCCTTTTATGCTTTTCTTTCCCTTAGATAAAACTTAAGGAAATATTTGAAACCCCAACAGATATCAGTCTGGTCCTAGAACTTGTCACAGGAGGAGAGCTGTTTGACAGGTAAGTTGAACCTGGCCATCTAACCACAGAAATGTTTGCTGTGGGCCAATGAAAAAGATCAAAGACAAAACTACCCTGAAATTTTTCATAATGAAAGATCATGCTAGTATGTAGCTTTTCTAAAGTAAATCTCTCAAGAATGATCTTGAAGGCTGGGCGTGGTGGCACACACCTGTAGTCTCAGCACTTGGGAGGCTGAGGCAGGAGGGTCACCATGAGTTCGAGCCCAGCCTGGGCTACATAGTGAGTTCAAGGGTAGCCTGAAACACATAGCAAGATGCTATCTAAATTTTAAAAAAGAAAGAAATGTTGAAGAAAGGTATATAGTATTCAAGAAAGTATGATGATTTGGGCTGTGTATAAGTAAAATAGAAACAATGTTTTTTTTAACCTTTGTAAATGTTTATTTACCTAATAAAAAGTAGAATTTTAAAATTATATCAAATTTAAATTAGTAATATATATGCAAATATTAGAAAATATTTGAGAAAAATTAAGGAAATTTGAGCATTTACTATAATTGTGTTCTTTACTATAATCCAAAAACATAAAAATCAATACTCTTCAAATGATTATTTTTAAACCTATTTTCTATAATAATCCACTTTAAAAGTCTTCTTTCAGAGTAAAAAGTGTTCTCTTTTGCTTATTTTCACCAAGTTTGGTTGTCTGTGACTAATACATCACTTAGGACAGCAGTGTGAGAACGGGGCAAGGGAGGAAGCCTTGAAAGCTGGCAGGAGGCTGAAAGCATCGGGCCCCGTGGTTCTCCTCATGCCGTGCTGTGATTCTCCTCACACCCACCTCTGCTCCAAAGACTGGTCGCTTGCCCTCATGGACTCGTGGCAGCCCTTTTAATGTACTCACTGGCATAATGGACCAAGAGTGGACCTGGACAAAGAGAAAGAGACTAAATATGTGTTAGAAAGAGCCAGAAACTATGAACTGATCTCAAGATCTTGGTTAAGGATTGGCGTGGGCACAGAATTGGGCTGTGGTGTAAGGGAAGGACACCAGAGAGAGACTGGGGGCCATGGTCAGAGCAAGCTCTCCATGCCCCTTTGCTGAATGAATGAATGAATGAATGAATGAATGAATGAGCTGCTAAAAGAGTACATTCTGAGGAGGAGATCTAAAGAGGTTAGGTATTGATCTGGGAGAGAAACACCTCTTTATTCCTACTGTGGTCTGAATATTTACATTGCCCCAAATGTATAAACTGAAATAATCGCCTACAAGACAGTGATACTTAGGGTGAAAAAATTTATGTGGTAATTAGGTTAAAAGGACAGTGCTCATGTTATGAGATTCATGCCCTTATAGAACAAGCCCCAGAGAGACTCCTTTCCCTTTCTTTCATGTGAGAGACACAGTAGAAAGTCTCTGTCCATGATGAAGCCAGCCCTTTGTCAGATACCAGATCTGCTGATGCCATGTCCACAGGCTTCCCAAACTCCAGAAGAATGACAAATAAATGTTTGTTGTGTATAAGCCACCCAGTTAATGAATGATGCATTGTTATAGATACCCAAGGAACTAAGACACTCTTCTTTTCCCTAGTTGAATCTGTTGCCTAACCCAACACTTGGAAACATACTCATATTGCTCTGAAAAGGTTTTGTGTGCTTTCAACATTTCCTAGAAGAAGATTTGAACCTTTAGGTGGGAAGGAAGAAAACAGCTGAGCTTAATTGGAACTATACATGTATCTTTTTCATGCTTAGGGGTGTGTGTGTGTGTGTGTGTGTGTGTGTGTTTGTGTGTGTGTAAGAGAGACAGAGGTAGGGAGAGAGAAAGGGAGGGAGAAAGAGAGAGAGAGAGAGAGAGAGAGAGAGAGAGAGAGAGAGAGAGAGAGAGAATTATTGCAGTAATTCCATTAAGTAGATCCACCAATGAAGTCACAGCCCACGTGATATAGTTACTTCAAAAAGTCCTGAATCAGAACTTATGAGTCCTTTTGATTCCCCAAAAATTGATTTTAAAATTGTAACACTTGCACTATTTTTATATTTGAAGGACAATGATCCAAATAAAGGAAGTGAGCATCAGTTGTCTGACAGACTCACAGTTCTGAATCTTGACTCTACCGCTCAAAGATGAATAGCTAACCTAGAATGATTTATTTAACTTCTCTGAACCTCAGAACAAAGCTGAAGCTGTTCTCTACTGCTAAGAACATTCAGACAATTTGAAGCAACTACAAGATCATTTTGTTTCAAAGACCATCATGTTCCCCCATGCTTAGACAAAGCTCCTCTCAACTTGCTTATTTGGGTATTGCCAGAATTTTCCTATAATGGCTCCTTCTTTATCATTTGTTTCTTTTTTTATGGCCATGTTCATAACTTAAGTACATTAATAAAGTTAGTTTCTTGTCAGATGCTGTTGGTGTTGGACCTAGGAGGTCTCTCTAAGGAGACCTTGCAAATTTCCCTGGTAATTTTGATCTGTTAGAGGTAAATCTCATGTTCTTTAATTATAAATAATTGCTGACGTGAAGCTACTATCTACCAACAGCACTTTCTGTTTGCCTACCTACTTCTATTTGTTTGATTATGCTTGGAATCAATAGTGTCTACTTTCCTTCTTCTCAAGCTTTCTTGCATAAAAAACTTTGAAAATTTAATTTGAATATTTAATTCAGCTTCTAAAACATTTTAAAAACTAAATAGCAGTGATTAATTTCATTACAGAGATTAAATAGATGGAGTATTTATATTTAACAGAAAATACCAAAATGGCAGACAGCCTGTAAAGCACATAGCCACTTTACAAATTCTTACTGATTTATATATATATATATATATATATATATATATATATATATATATTTGGTGCAGGGTCTGACTGTGCAGCTTGGATTCATAGTGATCCTCCTGTTTTCAGCCTCCCTAGTGCCAGGATTACAGGCATGTGCCACCACGCACAGACTCAGTGGCTGGCTTGGGTGCTGGGCCAGCATGGCATGTGGAGCCGGGGATTGAACCCTGGTCCCTGAGTTTGCCTAAGCAGGTGCTTAGTCCACTGAGCTATATTGCCAGCCCTCTCAGTGGTTCTAGAAGGTAAACTTTCCTCTCAATATTATTTACATCATTGACATACATGAGATGTACTTGATTTCTCTATTAAGTTAATTAATCTATAGTTACCTTAAAGTTGCATGAAGCTGAAAACATATCCTACATTATTATTCAGTCTGTTCGACTTTGCTTTTTCCCTGTGACTTAAAGATCCTAATTCATAGACTCTCTTTCTGTATTTAGGCCAAACTAAAATTTATTTAGTTGTCACAATAAGAATTCATTCTTGGCCTAATGAGTACTATAATAATACCTAATGAATGGATTGATGAAACAAGTGATAAAGAAATAATGACATTAATCAAGTACAGTCAAGCTGGTTGTATTTCATTAGCAAAAGATTTATTGCCTGATGCTTATGAAACATTAAACAGCTAAAAATCCAAGTGGAACCTGCTCTTTTACACAGAATTTAAATAGTAAATTATATTTATTTTATTTTTTAATCTAATTTAGTACAGGGTCTACAGGGTCTCACTGTGTAGATCGGACTCATAGAGATTCTCGTTTTCAACCTCCCAAACACTGTGATTGCAGGCGTGTGCCACCACACCCAGTCTCAATTGCTGTCTCAGTGCGCCCCAGGGGCAGGGCTGGCATGGCAGGCCTGGGATTGAACCCTGGTCCTTGTGCTCTGTCAAACCAAGTGCTTTAGTCTGCTGAGCTATCTGCTATCCCTTAAGTAGTAAATTATACAGGAGAAATTATTAAAAATTTTGGAATGCAACCAGTGCTTTTTATGTCCAAGAAAAATATATACATGAATATGTGTGTGCATATACATACATATATTTGTGTGTGTGTGTGTGTGTGTGTGTGTGTGTGTGTGTGTCTGTACACATGCACGGTTATGACATGGGAATAAGAAAGCTCCCAAAGTTTTCTGTTCCATCCTTCTCAATATGATTGCAATTCTTAACTCAATATGCTCATAATTCTTAAAACGCCAATATCATTTTCTTTGAATTTTTTTATTGACATCAATTATTTTTATTTTAAAGAAAGAAATAAAAAACAGTGGTACAAAATCTCAAAACAAGATTTTAGGAGAGTAACAATGGTTAGTACATTGTGTATTGTTATTGCCAAATAGTTTCTCATATTACAAGATATAGGCAAGAAATAATAAGCAAATAACATAGGTACAAACCCCTTTTCGTTTTTCAACAGAAAATGGAAATATACTTTTTAAAGTTTCTAATACTAGGAGAAGATATCATACAATGTCTTTTTAAGTAGATTGTAAGTCAAAGATACAGTATAAATCCTAGAACAAAAATTAAGATTAAGCAATATTCAGAAAATTAAATGATTCAAAACAATTGA